ACACACACACACACACACACACACACACACACACACACACACACACACACACACAGGATTTCCTTCCATATACATGAAGTATGATAAACAAAATGCTGGTACAATGAAAGTTGTAAACTAAAAAACAAGTATCTACATATGTTGGCTTTGTGGGGCAACAGCAGGTTGACCTCTGATCCTGCCCTCAGAAGGAGCAAGAACAGGAGCAGAGGTTTATCTTTACACTGAGCTGCCATCTCTTCTGCCAGTCTAAAATCAACACAGCTGATTTACATCCACCTATCCGAGTGCTTGGCTCTTCAAAATCTGCAGTGTGTCTCTGTTCTGTGATGAAATGCGTACTGAGTAATAAAGGAACAATCAACAAAAAGTAGATAGCAAAAGAGATCAGAGAAATTGAAGGTTATGTACCTGCAGATTGCCTTAAAAAAAAGAAAAAAAAGTTTTCTCAATTCAAAAGTACTCATCACAGTTTTTTCCGCTTCCATCTAAATTCATGAGAAAGAGATCTGAGATGAATTGCACGTTTCTCTCCATGTTTATGGAGTGTGAAAAGTGATTAGCATTTATATTCGATGGGGAGGAAGCCCAGATTGCTGAGTTGCAGTGCGCCATGGCCTCACAGGAGACATGAGAGGTTACCTTCAACACAGAACAGTTGTGTATGTAATGAAGGAGAGCGCTTGTTGCTTCTAAAGCTGCTGGACACTTTTCTCTCCTTCCTGATTTTGTGTTATTGTAACACTTCCAAAACTATCTAAGCCCCTTTTTTGTGTCTTAGCTTTGGCATTGTACTTGAGGAAGGGATGTGTTGCAACTTGTGTGCATGGATTCTGTGTTTGTGTGCATCCATGTTTGCTTGTTTATGTCTAATAGCCTTGATGTGGTGCCTAAAAACTCTGATATGGTACAGCTATGCTGTTTCACAGGCGCACGCACACACACGCACATCCCACTTTCCCTTGATTCAGTCAGATGTCAAAAACTTGGAGCTCACCTCACACTTTCTGACCCCCTGCCTACTTTTCGTCTCTTCTCCACCCAGCTACTACACTCAGTGGACCACACTAGAGCACCAGACACACACTTTCTGAACCACCTTGGAAACTTTCCTGGCTGCTATCCCTCCTCCTTTTGCCAAGATTCCCAGTGCCCCTCAGTCCACACCACTGCCCTCTGTGTGTGTGTGTGTATGTGGAAGAGAAGTGTTGAATATACTGCACCCTACTTGAATATATAAATACTGTACATACTGCAAAATCCCTTGCTCCCTAAACCCTAAAACCAAGCCCATTACACAATTCTAAAGCCAGAGTGACCCCCTACAGACGTTGACGTGACGTAACTTCTCGTTCCCTTCTTTTCTGCAGGCAGCTGGTGGAGAATCAGATTACTGTGATTGAGCGTGGGGCCTTTGATGACATGAAGGAGCTGGAAAGACTGTGAGTATGACCAATGGTTGTCTTTAGATAGCCTGAACACACTTAAACTTGAAATGAAAATCCCACCCTTATTCTCATGTGTTTTCACTCTCTGTATTTGTTGGGGGTAATGAGACTAACAGGAATGATACATAAAATCTTGCGAAATCAAGTGTGTGGCACTATCTTGGCCTTTCATTGTGGTTGGATGGTGCTAAGAGGGTACGGTGTGGGCTGCGAGTTTTTTTATTAGCTCTGCCTGACAGGAATGCCCTCAGTGGGATATGTGGGCTTAAAAGGCCTCCCCCACCGCAGACCCTGGCTCATCTGGACAGCACCAGGACTCCTTGACAGCTTGTAAACTCGCCGGGAAAACACACAGACAAACGCAATCAACCACTCCTTAACCCGCTCATTAGTAAATCAATAGTGCTAGCCACATGGAAACCTGCACAGCAGATGACTTTATGGACCACGCCGTAATGCAGACATAGTGGTTAACTTATAAAAGACTTTCCCCTGATCTGAAACCCACATTAACAGTCTGTGTTACCAAACTTGAGACCACGCACAGCTTGCCTTTCCTCCTCCTCCTCCATATTCAACAGATTCCAAACATTGGGTAGACATTTCCATGTGCCAGACCAATGTGGAAATTGAGTGGCTCGTTTCTTTAATGTTTAAAAGCCACTAACCCACCAGCAGGTACAGTTCAGTGTGAACGAAGCAGCAGCAGACCATTAATGTCCATTATGCACTAAATCTCCCTCTCAGCTGGCCGAACACTCTTCTCAGTGTATACAGTGTGTGGCACAAGTCCTAACATCTGTCTGAATTTGTCTGAAGGCATGGCAGTGGCCTCACATTTGCAGCGTCTCTGTGCCACAGTCCTCTCATTCGCTCCCATGGGCCTCAAATGGGCCATTCAAAAAGGAGAGAGTTGTGGTTTTCAACAGATTAGCAACAGTCTGTTCTCCATTGACTTAATTGTTGTATTTGCATAAAGCCTGCCAGTCTTAGATGTTAGCTGTTTGACGTGGAGTCTCTTGCCAACCACCACTCCTCTCAGTGTGTCCTTGGGCTTGAATAAGCTCATCCATTCCTCTTAATTTTATTTAGAAACATCTTTTTTCCAATAGATCGTCCCGAATAAAATGTTTTAGTGTTCCTATAACTGAATGGATATGATTCACTTAAAAAAAAATTGAAATGTTACTATTTTGTTGTTCTGGGAAAGTCAACAGAATGCTATTTTGCAAGGCAAAACAAAGTAATTTAACTGTGTAGCGATAATTTACGGCACTGTCTCTGACCAGCAGTTTTAATTCCCCCGAACTTTCAGTTGGATATTTATGTGACATGCAGAGCACACTGAAACACAATAGCCTGTGGCTAAGCCGATTCTACGGCAGCTAGAAGAAATTATTCACAGCCTACACATTCAAGGACACACATGCATAGACACACGCACAATCACTGGTTGATCATACGTTTTCCTTGCTGCAGGCGGCTGAACCGTAATCAACTGCAGCAGCTTCCTGAGTTGCTGTTTCAGAAGAACCCTGGCCTGTCTCGACTGTAAGTACATTCGCTTTTTTATTAATTTACCTCTTCCTCTCTGTCAGCGCACACTATGCAAACCACCAAAGATGGCTCAGTTAGGCAGGTCTGGTGAATTCTGGCTTTGGTTTGATTAGGTATAAACACAATTAAAGTACAAATATATTTCAATTGCACTTGGTGAAATATACATCAGAACTCTTTCTTGTTGACCGTAAGGCAAAATGAACTGGGTGAGAAGAATGGACATCTAAACTAGTTGGCTTCATATCTACATTAATGGATTTGTAAGCAGTAATAACTTGCACATTAATTTGCAATTTGTTTGTGACGCAGTTTTGAAATTCCTAATCCGGAAGAACGGTCTTTTGTGGGTCAGCTTCTGCAGCTCACAGCACAGATCCTGCTCTTTTAAATGGCAAAGATAACTTAGCATTCCAAATTAAAGTCACTATGCCGACAATGCTTGCTGCCACAAGTGTAACAGCTCTTTTGCACATATGGAAAAAATCGTGGTTGTACTTTGGCTGTCTCATTGTGTGGGTTTGTCTGAAAAATAACGTAAAAGTGTCTGAATGACAGAATGGCACCAGTTTAAGAGCTGGATGAAGCCAGCAATGTTACGTATCCCGTGTCTGAAAAGGGCTTCAGACTGTCTGCAAGAGGATCCAGGGGTGACAGAGATTTGATCAGACTGGAGCTAAGGGACAAATTAGACTGTGAACCTAAGTCCAGGTGAAAGGATGGCTTTGTTACTTAATGAGATTGTTTTATGTCATGCGAGTCCGCCAGCATGCTCCACCTTCATCATATGAATGGTGAAGGTGGAGCACACTTTCGTTTGCTTCTTGTTAAGACCGGTCCCATTCAGTCACACACCCACACATCCTTCCACTTATGCACCTCATGCAGCGAGACGATCCCACAGTAATGCTTAACTTTTATTCCCATCTACAAAGAGGCTCTATGTTTCTTTTTCTTTCTTTGGTATAATCAGTGTCCCTGTTGCTAACTGATCATTGGAGCCCCTATTATTCGCGTTCAGATTACCTGGAGCATCTGGGAATAATGAAACAGTGGGACATGGAAAAGCCATTTCCCTTCCTTCTATACTCATAGTGATACTACTAACCCATGATCCTAGCCTTAGCCCTCCATCTGTTTATCTTGCGTTTGATGTTTAACACCATCTTGAATCTATCTGTCGCTTCCTTGCAACTATTTCCCCACGTCACCTATCATTATGCCCAAACCAGCCGCTGGGAATTTAAGGCCTCCTCTTTTGGTACAAGGCTGGTTGTCTTGTTGTTTGCTCACACTGAGCAGCACTGAGTTGTGTGTCTAGTAGACTAAGAGCAGACCAAGGCTTCTCAGACCAGCGGATGGCCTTGAACCAGTGTGATTGGTCCATCTGGAGCAGCTGGCGTAGCCAGCAGCCAAATGATTGTGCTAACACATCCAGTCTAACTTCATGGTCATTATTCTAAACCTATCACTGGGTTCTCAGCCATGTTCTGGAGAGTGAGACTTTGTTTAACATTGCTTAATCGATTCGCTATGTGTCTGTGTATACACTCATTTGTTCTTTATCCTTGGTTAGACAGAAGAGAACAGTAATTGACCTTGAGGCTTTTCAGGTGTGAAAGTGCCTGGCATTTTTTAACAGTTAAAACAAATCCAAGGCCAAGGAATCAGCAATAATTCAATCTTTATGGTGCCAGTGCTTGACTGACAGATACTACTTTGTGAAAGACTTGTAGTCCTTGTTAAAAAAAATTTGGGCTAGTAGCGTGGGATCAGGAGCAGCAGTAGAAGACAAAGATATTTTTTTCCTAAGGTGTTTCTCAACTCCTGAGCAGTGTTCCCGACCACACCATGGGTTCTGGTTGCAGTCGGATGCGGTTGGGTTACAGCCTCGTCTCGCTCCCGCCAGCAGCTTTTAATGGACTTAAAAGGTCCTCATCTCCCAGAGGAAGACTTTCACTGCTATGTCATGTGTGCATTTATGTGTGTGTCTGAGGACGACAGAGAAAGAGAGGGAGAGAGCTCAATAGACAAAGAGAGTCTGTGGTTGCGTATGTATTTGTGTGCGAGTCTTTGCACTTGCTCAAAGAGCTCACTGGGGCTTGTTAGGGTCTGCCTTTATGATCCCAACAAAAGAGGTTAATGTGAAAGCCCGCTGCCCTCAGGTGTAGCACAAACCCAGATGGTTTCTCTTCTCTTGGAAGCAGGATTAATTGCTCCCCTTCTGCTTTTCTATACTTTTACGCTCTTGCTGTCTTTTTTGCTCTACTCTTTTTTTTATTATTCTCTTTGCTCATTCTAGAGTGAGGGTTTTAAGGAAAGCTTGTATAACAAAGTGGCCATTTGTCTTAGACACCCTGCTGAGAGGACAAACAGAACGAAGGGCAAAAGGGGGTAGAGGAGCAAGGGATAGCAGATGAGATTGTCGCTCTCATTAAACTTTAGAGGAAAAGCTACCGGGTTAATAAAAGGGTGTTGGTTAAATGAGCAGTGTAGTGTTGTTTTGTGGGAAGTTTTTAAACACTTGATCCCATGGAGTCATTACGTTAACGGGGTAATGAGTTTGCTCTACAAAGGGAAGATGAATTAATCCAAGTGCTCTTGCTAGAACACATTTTTAAAGAGCTCTAGTAAAGTCTACCGTAAAAGAAAGAAATATTTAGCATTTAGAAATAACTGAATTTTATCTTGTGCTTGAGCGTCAAAGCTAATAGGTTTAAGGTGTATAATGTGTCTTGGTTCATTTAAAAAACAGAAAACTGCACAGGTGGATTTTCAAGAGCTACGTACTTTCTCTTGTGAGAGCCAAACTCTTTATACAGAGCCCTGCTACACTGCCTCCTATCTTTTGCCATGCCTCAGAGATCCTGGAGACACTGATGCATGGGGGAAATAGGAAAGATAATTGGAATTGATTAGAGATGATTAGGGAGAGACGGAGTTAGTTAAAGCTTCCTGTGATGGATGACCCCGACACGAAGGCATGGGAACAGTGGCTCGGAGGTGAGAGGCGCTGCGCAGAACATCACTGAACAATAACAGTGAAAATAGAGTTGCATTCATCACTGTTAACGACCTGTTGCCCCCCTCTCACCACCCTTGACTACTCCTTATCCCACTTCCACTGCGCTTCAGATCTGTAATCTACTCATCCATGTTTGTAATTAGTGTGCTTTCGCAGTGGGAGAGCAGGAGGAAGGAAGGACCGCAGGATGGAGGGAAAAAAGTGGCATAGGTGAGTAGAGTCGGGGGCGTGTAGAGCAATTGGTCTGATAGCTGGCCCCAGGGAATAGCATCTGGTTTAGGCTGACGATGGGTGACTGGGGGAGGAGGAGACAAAAGGGTATTTTGAGGTTTTTGAGCAAGCGTATTTGCTTGGGACAGCAACACAGGTTTGTTTAGAGGGGGTGTCGCGTTCGATAATGACCAACTTTTTGTATTATGTTGTGGGTTAAGGAGATAATCAGGGAAGGTTTTCTCTTGTATAACTCCCCAGGAAAGATGAGGGAGGTGGAGGGATGTGGGAAGGGTGTGGTAGTACCTGCACTACAGGGGAGCTGAGGAAACCCTGGCAAAGGTTTGAAAAAGGGGGTGTGTCTCATCCGTCTTTAAGAAGCTTTTTTACATCCTTCAATTTAACGTTAATGCCTGGCAACGGGTACTCTAATATACACAAACACCAAACGCACACACACACACATTCACTGAGACACACAGGCAAATGTGCACAGACAAGAGAAAGAAAACTGAGGGAAAATGTAAATAACACTAATTAGACACAAACACTCAGAGAATAACACTATAATTAGATCTCTGTGTGTGGATGGTATGCATACACAAGGGATTACGTCCTTTCTGTGGCTCTGACTGTAGATAAAAGAGCCGCTTCAGATATGTGTTGATGCAAAGCTGCTTCTTCTGTGTTTGTGTTGGAGAGATGCTGTGTTTTGTGTTTGTTGATTGCTTGATGCTTAGGGAACAGTAGCTCAGAGTGAAAATAAAGAATTATTTAGGGTAGGAAATCTTGAATAAAGTGCACTATCATTAAGCCTATAAATCATCTCTCTGTCACAGTTTTCCCACTTGTTTTGACTTTGTTACCATTCAGCACATATACACTATTTTCCCCTTTTCATTTGCTTCAGATTGATTGGCTTGTAAACTTGCTCCAGTGTTCCAAGACTTCTTGTGCCATAAAGCAAGCAAATTAACTCTTTTGACTTTTGACTTTTTGTGTATGACTGCGTGAAAGACTGAGTTGAATGTGTGTGTGGGGGGGGGGTTTCTCTCCTCGTGACCGTTTGTGTTTGTATAATACTGTGCTGTGTAGGCGTCTTTGCATGCATGCATGCATGTGTGTGTGCATCTGGCAGGCTGTTAATGCTTCAAGCTGGTCTTGTTGTTTCCTTCTCTTTGTCTCTTCTGATGAATGACCTGCCTCAGTGTGCTAGGACTCTCTCTCTTCCTTAGAGGACTGTTTGGGCTCCCGCTTGGCAGCAGTCCCCATGGCAACTCATCTTCATCAGAAGGTTTCTGTGCCATCAGTGGTAGACATCCTGATTTCTTGACTGTGGTTTGTCTGACACTAAGTAAATAATGACAGCACAGACTTCAGTGAAGCTAGCTTCAGACTTCACACTGTGTATCCATTTCGAAACTTCCGTCTAGTACATTGTATACACTATGAAGTTACTTGCACAGTATGTGAATTGTGACAGTATTGTCATTATGGTAGTACGTTTTTATTGAACACACTTAACAAAACTGATTGTAATGTTTGACTATTGTAGCTTCAGCCACACGTTTTATGTGCATCTTGGCCAGCCTCTGACTATGCATGCTATTGAGATCTTCTATGGTGAAAATGACAGTTTAATTTGGACATCCAACTTTTTTTTAAATCTGCTGCTATTGGCTGTTTTGCTAGCATTTGCATCTCTCACTCAATTGCCCAAATGGTCTTTGGGTTTTCTGACAGTGTTTCAAAGCTTTTC